GTATCATCATCGTCATCTGTATCAGTACCTTCATCATCATCAGCATCATCATCAGCAGCATCATCATCATCATCATCAGCATCATCCCCCTCATCCTCATCATCATCAGCATCATCATAAGCATCAGTATCATCAGCATCATCAGCCTCGTCAGCATGATCATCCTCATCGTCAAGATCATCATCATCATCACCAGCATCATCAATCATCGTCATCGTCATCATCATCAGCATCATCATCATCAGCATCATAATCATCACCAGCATCATCATCATTATCAGCATCACAATCACCAACAGCATCATCATCAGCATCATGAGCAGCAGCACCATCATCATCACCATCACCATCACCATTATCATCATCATCATCATCATCATCATCGTCAGTATCAGTACCATCATCATCATAATCAGCATCGTCATCATCAGCAGCATCGTCATCATCACCATCATCATCACAGTAGTTACCATCGGCATCATCATTGTCATAAGCATCAGCATGGTAGCCATCGTCATCATCGCCATAGACACCCTCATCATCAACATCATCAGCAGCAGCATCAGCATCATCATCATCATCAGCAGCATCACCATTACCATCAGCATCAGCATCATCAGCATCATCGGCATCATCATCACCATCATCATCAGCATCATCCTCTTCCTCGTCCTCGTCCTAGTCCTCATCCTCGTCCCCCCCCTTCTTCTCGTCGTTGTCATCATAACGTGTGTTCCTATCCTGCACATCCTCAGCATCTTCGGCCTCACGATCCTCCATTCGGCACACAGGTATCCGCCACCGTGGCCGAAGGCACGAGTTGGAGTGTTCTCAGGTCCTGTAGTTTTCCACCCGCAGTCCTGAAGGTTCATGAATGCCTGGAGTTCCTGCCGCTCTGGAGCGCTTTCGAGCGCTCCTGGACGCTCTCGGGCGCCCCTGGGCCCCCAGGTCCTGTCGCATAATTTCTCGGAGCCAAGAGGGGCCCGAGACCGCCCGAAGACCTCCGAAACGGTCAGATAGCGCGCCGAGTCGCCCGACGATCGCTCCAAGACGACCAAGATGGCCTCCAGACAGCCCAAGGGGCCTCCAAGGCCTCCAAGACACTCGCAAGAGGGCCCAAGAGAATCCAAGTGGCCCCTCCTCCTCCTCCTCCTTCTCCTTCTCCTCCTCATCCTCCTCCTCCCGCCCTCCTCCTCCCTCCTCCCTCCTCCCTCCTCCCTCCTCACTCCTCTCCTTCCTTCACCGCCATCCTCCCTCCTGCCTCCTTCCTCCCCATCCCGTGTGGCGAAATTCGGCCGCGAAATCTTCGGGGCGCCGGCGCCTCCTGGTTCGGGCTCCACCAAGGGGTGACCCTGAGAGGGGGCGTGAGTTCGATCCGCTGGTGCACCGAACTGCCGCAAACAGATGCCCCCCGCGTGCCCCACCAATCGGCAACCATCGCGAGCTGCCAGCGACTGGGGGGCATCTGTTTTGGGCGGTTCGGTGCAAAAACCGATCGAACTCTCTCACACACACACACACACACCCTTTGCGGGATCCCGACTGGTTACTCGTTCGACCGCGATACTCCCCAGCAATGCCCCCCCCCTCCTCCCGCACTGCCCCCCGCCCCCTCACTCCCCACCCAAGGGGGGTGCCTGCCCCCTCCATCCCAGCGAACCCACGCACCGTCAGAGGTCCGACGAACAGTGGCCCCTCCTCCCTCCTCCCTCCTCACCCCCCCGTTGTCTCTTCTTTTGGGAGCCCGAGTTATCCGGGGTAACTCGGGTCCGGGGTAACTCGGGCTCGGATTCCCGAAAAAGGAACCCGAGTTAGCCCTGACCCGAGTTAACCCTGATGATTCGGAGCTCTGATTCTTTGTTCCTCCCCCCCTCTCGCTGTCGCCACAGATCCGGGCTAGCACCCCGGGGACCCCGCCTGCGAGGCAGTTCTCCTTCGCAGCCTCGTGCTCGGGCGGACGCCCGTGGCCCGACCGTGCCGCATGCCATTGGGGCAGCCCCCCCTCCTCAGAGCAAGTCCGGCCGAGGTGTCTGTGGAGGCCCCTCCTCCTCCTCCTCCTCCTCCTCCTCCTCCTCCTCCTCCTCCTCCTCCTCCTGTGTCGCACTATTCTGAGTATTCCTCCAGTCCTCTCGGTGTCAGGGGGGCGTAAGACCTGGGTACAGGGAACTCGGAAATCCCCGACGAGGTCGTCAAAAAAATGGCGAGGCCGAGCCCCCATTTTGACGAGGCCTCCCGCTGCAGACATCCCACGAAACTCCTCCTCGTCAGAATCCGAGGCGCAGTCGTCAAAAAACGATGGCGAACCCGAGTCCTGGCAAACCCGGGTCTTACGCTCCCCCGACTGTGGAGGCCCCTCGCTCCGCAAGTGGAAACGGAGGGCGTGCGACACAACGGCAGTGAAGCACGCGTGCAAGAGAAGCGGCTGATGCAAAAACCTAGCTCAAATCTACCATGCCCCCCTCTCCTCCCCTCATTCCTATGCTCCCCGCGGCGGGCGCGCCACGACGGCGAGCAGCAGCATCTGCGCGAACAGCACCGGCACCTCGGCGTAGGTGCTCAGCGGCGTCCTGGTGCGCGGCGGCGTCCGTCGAAACGCGGCGGGGGCCTGGAGGGCAGCACAAGTGAGGGTGAAAGTTCGAGGTTCGAGGCTCGAGATTCTTCGGGCGTCCTCGTCGATGCGCCGCCCGTTGGCCCAGGGTGGGCGTGGAGGGCAGCACAAGTGAGGGTGAAAGTTCGAGGTTCGAGGTTCGAGATTCCTCAGGCGATCTCGTCGGTTCTCGGCGTTTCTTCAACCTCGGGATGCTCTCCAGCGGCTGCGCCTCGCCGAGGCGTTCTGGGGGGGCCAGATCGTCAGGAACGGCCGCGGGAGAGTCGAGTTATGATCCAGCAACCTGACAGCGAAGATCACGGGGGAGTAGGCTCAGGGGAGCAATGCATCGACCCCCAATCACCCATTGATCGCCGACAGGGGCCGGATAGCCCACTCATCCAAGGAGCATGCGGATTCGCTATCGGGATCCTACCGCCGATGTATCGGCGATGTATCGCCGATTCCAGGTCGATGTTTCCCCCCCTGAGCCTATACGCCCTAGCGTTGCCCCTGAGCAAGGGCTCGGTGCCGCTCGGCGTGCCTCCGCTGGCGCTTGCACCGCAAGCGCTGGAAGGCTCGTGCCTTTATCGACAGGCTGAGCCAACTCTGGCTGGGGGCGCAAATACCTGGATGACGGCCGACCGCGTCCCTGGGTTGCCCTTTTCGTCGCCTGGCCCGCCCGTGACTGCACTGTCCACAGACAAGCGCGCGCGGGCGCGGTCCGCAATCGGGACACTCTTCTTGAGGGCCCCGGGGAAGAGAGCCCGGGCAAGCCCGGGCAAGCCTGAGATGCCGCGCGCACGGTGACGGTGCGAAGCCGGGGCTCGGATCCTTTTGCCATCGATCGCCAAATCGATCCTCACGCCTCATCCGTCCTCCCTCCTCCCTCGTGCGTGAAGTACGGGGAAACGGGGAGGAGGAGGAGGAGGGAGGGAAGGCGGGAGAGGAAGGGGGAGGGAAGGGGGGATGGGCCTGGAGCAGAGGCAAGGCGGCGCAGGAGGGGAGGGGGAGGGATATGAGTATAAGCATGACTATGCGAACTTACGGCACGCGACGAATTACACATGAAGGCAAAACTATACACGACCACGGTGTTGCTTCTCCCTTGCACTCAGAACATTAGGCCACTAACCACTGAAATCCAATCGAAATATTCAGCTCGATGTGGGGCGACACGCTTGGTACAGCCTTTGCCGAACTCACGCAAAACAGAGGAGGCATAGCAACCGCACTGCTTACAGTACCACGGCTATAAATGTGTATGAATTTGCATGAATGAGACTGGTCCCCCCACCCACCCGCAACGTGAAGACGCGCAAAGAGGGGTTCATATATGATGGTACCGCTATAGCTGAAAGGGCTGAGGCAGTCGGACTGGCGCCAGTTCGTTCCAGCGGCCTTGCTGGCCGAGCCTCCACAGCGGGTACACCGCCTCCCACTGTCGTCGATACGGCGGGAGATAAAGAAGAGGGAACAGCAGCAGAGGGAGGGCGAGTGACAAGAGGGGATGATGTTTTTTTCCTGAGACCCAGGAGCGACATCCGCTTCCATCCCATCGAGAGTCGTTCCCAACAACCGATGGAAAACGATCCTCGCCCGCCTCTCGTGTAAAGGCACATGCTGCCGCTGATTCTCTGGGAGGCACACATCAGTTGCTGCCGCGCCTGCTACGACATCCACAACCGAACGGCCTGTGACCGCCCACCTCGGGGCCGCTCCTTAGCAGATCCCAGCAGCACCCAGGTGAGAGCGAACGAACATGACAGAAAGACAATGAGAATTGCGACCTTCGACAAATTGGTCGAGCATGGCCCAGAGGTCGGCGTCCGGGCCACTCGGGGACTCGAAAACGTCGCTCAAAACAAACCAGTGACCACGGGCTCGCAGTCTGTCACGCATGTGATGCACCCACTGGAGGCCGAGACTGCCAGCACAAAACAAAGGAGCTCGCCACGCGGCACGCCCTGCCTGTCACCACTGAGAGGGTCGCTGAACAGGCTCGAGCGAGTAAAAGAGCGCGACAACACAGCCTACCCTGCGAAGCTAAATGACAGCCGCGTCAAGGCCGCCGCCAGCATCTCCAAACAACAGCAATGGAGCCCGCGCCTCGCCGCGGCCCAAGCAGCCTGGGCCTATCACACAGGGGCCCGCCAAGGTCCGCGACTCCTCTCGGGCAGGCCGCGACACTGCCACCCAAGATGCGGGGAGCAAACCTCTGAGCCAAAGACAGACTCGGCCCCCGACTGGACCGTGGCCCGGCGCGCCATGCCCTCCGCCTGCCAGCGCGCTGCCTGGTCGACGTCGCGGCTGCACGTCCAACTGCGGCGAAACAGGGCCCCCGGCTCAAGCCGGCAACGGGGGCGCCGATCGGCGCCGCATAACCGATGGATGCCAACCTTCTTCCGCGCCCGAGGCCAGGCCCCCCAAGCGCAACCGCCAGCGTGAACTCGCTGAGCCTGCGGCCAATCTGCGGGGCGTCGTGGAGTCGACGCAGCAGCGCCCGATAAGATTCGACATTCGAGCCGCCAGGCAAGCCATCGCCAGTAGCGGGCACCTGCTTGCCGCCAATAGCGAAGCTGAAAATGTCCTCGAAGTCCACGAGAAAACCAGCACGGCTGTTGAGTGCCCGACCTCCAGGTGCACATGGCGCCATCGAATCTCCACTCATCGCCAGCAAGTTCACGAGGCTCGGAAATCACCCAGCAGTGCCTGAAGGCACGGACCATCCAGCTTCAATAAGAGCCGCTGACACAGGTCCTCGCACAAACGCAATGCGATTTGCAACTGGAACTCCCTGAGATTGCTCGACTACCGATCACCAAATACGATGGGTACCAGATCTGATGTCAGGACGGCCGCGCCATATCGACGCACGCATGCCGAGGCACTGCGCGGGCAACTTGACGCTCGGGCCCTGCTGCACAAGGGGGGGCCAGCGCCTGCGCGAGCCCCTGACCGGAAGACCCGTGCACCTGGAAGCCGTAGATACCCGCGGACTGAGCCCCATGGAGCTCCAGGCGGCTGATAACCTTGCACCGCCCGGCGGCCTCGGCAAACCGCCCGATCTTAAAGCTCATGCCCCTGCGCATGGAGCCCCGCTTGACCCGCGTGGCTCGCGCGAGCCGCGAGCCACAGCTGTGGTGAAGTCCGAAGAATCTTGCCCGCGACTGCGCCGCGATGCGACGCCCCGCTCCCCGCGCAGCACGAGCAACCCAGCGAGCGTCGGCCGCGCTCGCGCACGCGATCATCGACTTCGGGAACACGCGCAGCTCGCTGGCCCCTGAGGACCTGCACGCGTCTAGGATACACGCCTTCAGACTGCGACGAACACGCGAACGCGAACCGCGACCCTGCTGCGGGAGGTCGTCGATCCACACACGATGGCACGCAAGTGGGCGGTCCTCGACACCTCTCTTCAGCACGAAATGGGTGGGCGCGCGGACGAGTCGGGCACCCGATGGCAGCCCCTGCACAATGCTGCGAACAGGTTAGAACGGGGCCGGCGCGGCCAAGTTTGCTCAGAACCCTCGGCGAGACGCACTGAAGAACCTCCACTCCAGCGCCACATCCGCCAGGCACGGCCACTCGATCGAGTCGTAGAAGCCATCGATGTCGACGAGACCATGGCCCACGTTCACATGAACGTGCACACCCACCTCCTCCTGCACAGTCCGAAGATACGCTTCCTGTAAACTGGGATCGCCACGGACTTCTGCACCCCGCCTCTCCTCGGCCTCGGCCGACCACCCGCGGACAAGCGGCCCCCTGCTAACAGACCAGAACCGGCCGAGAGGAGGCACAAGTCCAATGACCCGATCTCCGCGCGTCATCTCGGGGGGCAACTTCCCCGAGATTAGCGGCAGCTGCCCTGGCCAGCACAAGCACTCCTCGCAGGCAGCGCCGCAGGCCGCGAAGAACAGGACTAGCTCGGCAAGCGCTGCGTCTGACAGCCGCTCCAGATCCACTGGCGAGGGGGAGTCACCTCTCAAACCAGCGGGGGCCCTCAGCTTCCTGGGCGCATCCCTGACGTCGTGCACGCCTGCAGGCGGGCCCTCCGCCGCCGCCCCCACCTTCTGGGAGACTCGAAAGACGGCGCCCTCGCCACGCTGCGCGGGGGGGCCGCTTGTAATTCCACTTTGCCGACTTGGCATCTATGATGTCACGTGGGCGACGCGCGCGATGCCCCTGGCACTCGCATTCCAAGTCCACCAGGGGCGCGGGACGGAGCGACAGATGCAATTTCCCCAAAGACGCCTTGTCGGCAACAAAATCTTGAAACACGCCCAGCGGTTGTTGGACGGCCTGACGCTGAACTCGACTGCTGATCCTCTTTGCACCTAGGACAAAGACTGCCCAACTTGCAAGTAGAACACGCGCCAGCAATGCGCAGGGCCCCCAACCATTCACGCCATTCAATATCCTTCCCTGGGGGGCAAAACAACGCGGGCACGCTCGGGGGAAGCGTCGAAGTGCCGCTGCACCGACTCATGATAACCCGCCCGGCGCTTCCCCCCCCCCCCCCCCCCCCGCCCCGACGACGACGGGCAAGAGCGCAGAGATGCGCGCGGAGCTGCGCCCACCTGCAACAGAGCCGATCTCTCAATGGGGAGGCGCGGCCGCTGGTGGGCACCTTCAGCACCTGGACAACGAACTGCACTCCAGCTGCCCGCGCGTGCCCTGCAGGCTGCGAAACATCGCGACGACTCGACTGGCGATGGCGGGTTCCACGGCCAACGCCCAGCTGGAGCAGAGGCCTGAAACAAGAAACCCGCGCAGGTTTGAGCCGGAAGGCCACAGATGACACCGGGGCAGGGCAAAGAGAGTCATGGGACAGGCCACGCGGCCTCGGGGATGCGGAGGGCGGGGGGGGGGCCTGAGCATTATCCGATGGGCGCTCGACCTCATCCTGCTTCTGCACACTGCCAGAGGCGGCCTCCGAAACGCTGACAGCTCCAGGGCCTGCCCTGGAAGCCGGAC